GGCCTGAATGTTCTTGAGTGGCCCAGTCAGAGCCAGGCCTAACTCCTATGGAACATCTCTGGAGAGATCTGAAAATGGCTGTACACAATCACTTCCCATCCAACCCGATAGAGCTTGAGAGGTACTGCAAAGAGGAATGGGCAAAAATTCCCAAAGACAGGTGTGCCAAGCTTGTGGCATCATATTCAAAAAGTTGAGTTAACTTAAGAGTGTAATTGCTACCAATGATGCATCAACAAAGTATTGAGCAAAGGCTGTAAATACTTATGTACATGTGATTTTTCAGGTTTTTTTATTTTATTTTACCACCTTCACATAAAGTGCTACCGAAATTTTAAACTGTTGATCCATTAACTATTAATCTCTCTTGGCTTTTAGTGTACCATTACATTTTACCATTGTCCTCTTTTCAGATCAAGAGTCAGATGAAGATGGCATGGTTTCAGAGGTAACAGAGGATCTGCTTCCTCAGGCCAAGGTTCCATTATTCCAGCGAGATCATATTAACAGCAAGAAGGCTCAGGCCATGCGAAAGGATCGGAAGAGACAACAAGCTAAGCTCCGGACCAGGAGCCATGTTGACTACTCACTTTTTGGAATGGAAAAACATCAGTCTGACATTGTAGGTTTCTTTATAAGCATCAATCTGATATTAGAAAAAAAACAAAAAAAACTAAAATAACAATTGTAACATTTTCATTTTGTTTATATTCATTCCTGACACCTTTTCCAGAGTGTTCTGTTAATAGCATGTTTGCTAACTGTAGGGTCCATGCCGAAGAAAGCTAGATGGAATTGTACAGAGGATGAAGGACACTTCCAGAGTGATGGCTCTTTCTTTATACCTACCTAACTGTGACAAGAAAGGCTTCTTCAAGCGCAAACAGGTTAGTTCTGCACTTCAGCATGTTTATAGATGACAGCTACTGGCAAGCTTAGTTGTCGGAAAGTTTTCTTTCCTATAAACACTTGGCTCTTGGCTGAGGGCAGGGTCATGTTACTTTGCTTACTTTGCTTTGTCCATTTTTGGTTTATGTCACAGTGTAAGCCCTCTAGGGGGCGCAAGCGGGGCATCTGCTGGTGTGTAGACAAGCATGGAGTTCAAATGCCGGGCACTGACTTTAATGGAGGCAACATCCAGTGTAAAGAAGTTGAAAGCCACAGCAACAACAACGAATGAGACTACTTAAATTCGATCACGTAAAAGCATCATACACTCTCATCTACTTTATTATGTGATTTGCCAATCATTTCTAATCTTAATCTTAAAGAGTCTGACATTTGTTTGTGAAATGCTTTAGTATACTCTGAAAGAGGATATGCAGAAGACAAGCTTTAGTTACTAAATTCTTCCTCTTGTGTCAATGGGATCATGGACTTAGGGATAGCTCGCCCAAAACTCAAAATTCTCTCATCATTTACTCAACCTTTGTTTGTTCCAACTTATTCTTTCGAATACAAAAGAAGATATTCTGAAGAAAGCCAGAAACCTGTATCCGCTGACCACTGTAGTATTTGTTTGTCCTACTCTCACTGGGGTGATACCTTTTCAAAAGGTACAAATTTGTACCTGAAAGGTCCATATTAATACCTCAAGGGTACATATTAGTAGCTAAAGAGTACAAAAGTGTACCTCCTAAAATTTTTAGTTATAATTATTTTACTTTTGAGGTACCAAAATGGACTTTTCAAGTACAAATGTGTATCTTTTAAAAGTTACCACTCCAATGACAGCTCGTGTACTTTTATTTCTGAGAGGGTACTTTAGAAGTTAGGTTTCAGCTTTCTTCAATATATCGCCTTGTGTGTTCAACAGAAAAAGAAAAAAAAAAAACATGTGAAGGTTTGGGACCACTTAAGAGGAAGTAAATAGTGAGTAAATGATCATTTCTTGGGTGAACTATCCCTTACGTATCTTATATATACACACTATATTTTAGAGACCTTTTTTTATGAGATTAGGGATAGAGATTAGGGATGATTTGTCCAAAAATGAAAAGGATGTTATTAACTCACCCTTATATTGCTATGTAACATTTTTTTTATTCTGTGTAACACAAAATAAGAGACTTTAAATGTTAAGTGTTTTGTTCATATAGTGAATGATGGTGGGGTCAAAAACAACACTGGAACCTATTTTATTTCATGCAGAGAAAGAAAAACATTATTCATTTTACAGTTGCAATCAGAATTATTAAACCCCCTGAATTATTACCCCCCCTGTTTATTTTTTCCCCAACTTCTGTTTAACGGAGAGAAGATTTTTGCACATTTTTAAACACATTTTTAAACATAATCGTTTTAATAACTCATTTCTAATAACTGATTTATTTTATTTTTGCCATGGTGACACTAAATAATATTTGACTACATATTTTGAAGACACTTTGTCACCTTGGAATTATAAGGTTCTATCTGTATTCTGAATGATTTTGAGATATTGAGCTTTAAAGTTTTTGCATTCCATAGCAAACAGTATGTGTGTAACATTTTGTTTTTTTTAAATAACACGTCTTAAAATGTAAACAACTTATAAAAAAACATCCCATAATGTAAATAAGTTGTCATTTAATAAGAATATGTTAGTAACTCAATTTTGACAAAAATGTCAGTTAGAACCTTGTAATTCTTAGGTGATGACTTCTATACAGCTTATAGTGACATTTAAAGGCTTAACTAGGGTAATTATTGGTACATATTATTGTATGATTTGTTCTGTAGACTATCAAATATTGCTCAAAGGAGTTAATAATATTATAAATATAAATAACCTAGAATAAATTGCTTTTATTCTAGCCGAAATAAAGCAAATAAGACTTTCTCCAGAAAAAAAAAAATATTCAGACATACTGTGAAAATGTCCTTGCTCTTTTAAACATCATTTGGGAAATATTTAAAAAATAAAAAAAAATAAAAGGGGGTTTAATAATTCTGATTGCAACTGTGGCTCCTCAGAAAAAAGAAATGGATAAAATCAGGTTGAGTGAACAGAATTTTCATTGGTTGAACTGTCCCTTTAATATGACAGAGCATTTGTCCATGACACAGCACTTACTTACTAAAGAGTACAGTGCACGCACACACTTTAGTTTTGTACAAACCTTTCCAAAGATTATAAGAAATTAGCTTATTGTCTTTTTTCTCATGTTATTGTGCCACCTTGAATGAAACTTTATTTTCCAACAGCCACTGGTTGTGCACTACAAAAGAAAAAATATATATACCTGAAAGAAAAATAAGCAGAAATTCACCATAAGCTATGACTGTTTATGTGAATGACTACAGAATATGAAAGAATGCTGACAAGCCAGGCTGTCAGTAATTTTTGTAATTGTTTTGAAGGTTTAACAGATCAGGGTCCTTGGGTTCTTATGGAAATGTCAGTGCCTTTTTCTACTCAAATATTTGAATAGTGATTTACATCACAGGCATCAAAGGGGCCACAAAGGCAAAACACAAACACTCCAAATGCTGACCTTCAGCTTGCAGGACTGTAGATTCAAAACAGCAAATTCAATGTTCTCAAAAAGCAGGCAAATTGAGATTATTTACATCATGAAAATGACTAGTAATAGGGCACCAAAGGTACTATTAGGGTTTGGCTCACAGAGTAGAATTTAGTGCAATCAGTGTTCCTCTTTTTATAGTAACAAAAATGCTCTTCATGCTTATGTGATTATATGGATTGCTTGTGTGTTGGATCAGAGGATGATGGCAGAATTGTTTTCTGTTTGTAGAACTGTAGAAAATCCTCTGTCATAAGCATTAACATGACATCTAAACCAGATTGACTTTATTTTAGCCATAATCCTCAAAGTTTATGAACAATGGATTCTGAATGATACCGCTCCATGTTGGGGATTTAGGCTCACTGTAATGAGACAACAAAAAAAGCAAAGCAGACCAGTGTGGCAAACCCTTCCAACTTATTAATTGTGTTTTTTTTTCTTGTTTTTTTATTTAAAATCGGTTGACTGTCTCCATTTTTTTTTTTCAGTTTAAGGCTTTATTTAAGCACATTTAAGCTGAGCCCAAATCAAGTAACACGGGTGGTCAAATTCTTAGTTTGACATCTACATATCTGTGTGCAATATTTATTCACCATGTAATTTAAATAATCTTATTCTTGTCTCTTTTGAAAAGACAAAACATTTATTTAATAAATATATAAACATAAAGCTATTCAGTTGCAGGGATTTCTTGTTTCCAGAATCTTACATATTGTAAGAAAGTGTTTCGTTTTGTGTCTGTGTGATGTGCTTTATCAAATACAGTTTGAGATGAACACACTATGGTGAGTAATGTCAAATATTTAACTTGTGCATAAATTAAGTATACAGTTGAAGTCAGAATTATTACCCCCCCCCCCACCCCCACCCCCCGTTTATTTTTTCCCTCAATTTCTGTTGAGAGAGTATTTCAACACATTTCTAAACATAGTAGTTTTAATAACTCATTTCTAATAACTGACTTGTTTTATCTTTGCCATGATGACAGTAAATAATATTTTACTAGATATTTTTCAAGACACTTCTATACAGCTTAAAGTGACATTTAAAGGCTTAACTAGGTTAACTAGGCAGGTTAGCGTAATTAGGCAAGTTACTGTATAATGATGGTTTGTTCTGTTGACTATCAAAAAAAAAAAGCTTAAAGGGGCTAATAATTTTGACCTTAAAATGTTTCTAAAATAATTAAAAGCTGCTTTTATTCTAGCTAAAATAACACAAACAAGACTTTCTCCAGAAGAAAAAAAAAAACATTATCAGCTCTTATCATTATCATGCTCTGTTAAACAAAATTTGGGAAATATTTAAAAAAGAAAAAAAATCAAAGGAGGGCTAAAAATTCTGACTTGTATATACATTTTTGGTAAAGCTGTGCAAAATATTTTTTATTAATTCTTCACATATTTTATGTATTCCAGTTTTAGTTATTGTGCTTTCTGACTTCACTTCATAAAAACAGAAAAATCATTTAGTTTCTCAATGCATATAACATCTTGAAATAACTTCTTTATTTTTGTACATGAAAAACACAGGGTCCAAAATAGCAAGCGACAATGGCATCTAACAGAAAGATTAAACTGTTTATTCAGTTTGCACAAACCACAATGTGTAGTTGAAATAGTTAACAGTTAGGAGCAAATCTGTTTAACACTTCTGCAGCAGGTTTTATTCAGAATTATGCATTCTCTTCCTTAGTGTCACCACCAGGTGGAAGTAGTTACTTGCAATTGTAACAGAACCTCAAATGAATTATTACAAACGGTGTAGCCCATTTGAAGGAAGGCACTAGCTTACTAGTTTATTAGCAGAACACTGTCCTATCCAAAACAAACCTTTTCCTTACCATGTTCTGTGCAGTGTGAAAGGTGCACCCTACTTTCTGTATTGAAACAAATAGCACCAGCAACTTCGTGAAAGAAAAATAACAGTGTACATCATGTTTAGCACAAGATACCTACTACTGTAAGTATGTGAAAGTGTTAAAAACACATCTCTTGTTAATATTCTATAGGACAAGTAGTATTAGTAGTATCAGCCTGCTAACATCAGTCCTCTGGTCATATTTAATCTCTTAGCTTAGATTTAATGGGTAGGATCAGTTCAGATAGAGCAGTACATGAACTGTAACAATACTGTTTTGTGTAAAGTTTCTCAAACCTACAAGCGCAGACATGTCTACACACACTTAAGATATAATTGTAGCTTGTTTAGAGAGTGTAAAACACTGACTCCTCTAGGGGCTTAAAGGGCAAGAGGGTAAGGGATGGGAAGGTTCGGGACACTTCTAGTTTGGAGGGTCGACAGATGGATCCATCTCTTGACCGTCAAGATACTGGTTGCAGTTTGGATCACCTCTTATCAGTGGAGAGGTGGGCATGGGACGTCCTGTGTGTGGATTTACACACCAGCATTCGCCACGATAGCCATTCACTGACATCTTACACTGAAACACACATGAGAGTCAGTCAACACAAGGTTCATTCATTCATTCATTTTCTTGTCGGCTTTATTAATCCGGGGTTGCCACAGCGGAATAAACCACCAACTTATCCAGCAAGTTTTTACGCAGCGGATGCCCTTCCAGCCGCAACCCATCAATTTTTATTCAACCCAATTATTATTCAACCTTTGGACTTTGGGGGAAACCGGCAACATGCAAACTCCACACAGAAACGCCAACTGAGCCGAGGTTCAAACCAGCGACCCAGCGACCTTCTTGCTGTGAGGCGACAGCACTACCTACTGCGCCACTGCCTTGCCATCCAACACAAGGTTCTTTTCGGTTAATTTACCAAAGACATATAAATATCTCAGATTTGATTACAATGCCTTTTATTCATGTTTTGAAGGTGAACACACTTCCTATGGGTTTGGAAAAAACATGAAGGTGAGTAAATAATGATAGAATTGTTCAGAAGTGACAGAAGTGATTTTTATTTGTATATGTATATGAATGCAGCTTATATGAATACAATTTTAATCAGTTTTCAGAAGGTTAAGGTAAAGGATCCTGCCATGAATTTTAAAGTTGGTAAACAAATCATGAGTAGTTTATTAATAGCAGGCCATGGTTTAAAAGGCTGCTTGCTTGCACATTAACAATAATGAAAATGAATAAATAACACAAATCTACTTAAAATAGGTTTAGATTTAATGGTTAATATTCAGATATGGCAAACGTTTACAAATGTGACTTGTTTTGATCTGCAGAGTATTGAATTAAATACCTGTTTCAGGTTGTACTGCCCCCTCTTGTCACAGTTGGGTATGTGCAGGGAATAAAGGTCTTCCAGGGGAGTCCTGTTATCTTTGAAAGTTATTTTTGAGATCCTTTCCAGCACCTGGTCAAGCTCCTGCTGGCACTGGCTCTGAAATATGGACAATAAATGTGTTGGATTTTATGTTTTTTCACAATTATGACTTGAAGTGTTTGGTAAGAAGTTATGACATCTGGGCCAAATATTTACAAACTTTTCATTTTTAAATACAAATTTTAACCCAGTTGTTCGCTTGTCCATAATTGAATCCATTAAATCAACTCTGAATTTTGAAGTGTGTACATATTCAACAACATTATTTATGAGGATCTTTCTTACTACAACTAAATATTAAGAGTATTATTAGACTGTTTAGCAGAATGAGTATTCCTATAAGTTATTTATAGTCAGTAGAATATTCATGAAGGTGCCATTAAAATAAATTATTATTTGATATCAAGCCAGATGGTCCACTGATACTTTAAAAAAGAGGGTGACTTTAGCTATACTCTAAAATGACAAAATTTGCCTTCCCAAATGACAGTTTTTCTCTTTAATGCAAATATAAGTAAAATCAGAATCAAAATCATACCTTACTAAAATTAGTAAAAAAGCTACAATTAATAATGCTTACTAATACCGTCATAAGCAGGGATAAAATCTAATTCGTATTCATGACGTGTCATGTCATGTCATGATTATAAAGCTTTCATGACAGTCTTAAGAAAACCCCTTTAAGTAAAGTGTTACCAAACAATTTTACTGGTTTCATTGTTTACATCACCTACCTGTTTAGCATGTGGTGCTTTAGGGTCCTCTACTTTGTGGTACTTCATCTTAGACTTCAGCTGTTGGCGGTGCTGAAGAACTGCACTCTCTTTCCATGGACTGTCTTTGGTGGGCTTCCTTATTGGAGGAACCTCAGTCAGACCAATATCCAAAGGGTCCTGCACCTCACCTAATAATAAATAACAAACATTTTTCAATTTGTCAAAAAAAGTTTACTCAATAAAAGTATAAATGTAAGACTAGTTTTTGCTCTCACTTTTCATGAGCTGACCTCAAAGATCTAAAACGTTTTTTATTCTGTATAAGACCTATTTCTTTCAAAATTGTCCATAGTGTATGAGTGTGTGTAAATGAGTGTTTGTGGATGTTTCCCAGAGATGGGTTGCAGTTGGAAGGGCATCCTCTGCGTAAAAAACGTGCTGTCAACCCCAGATTAATAAAGGGACTAAGCCGACAAGAAAATTAATAAATGAATGATTATTGCACAGGTGTGCCTTAGGGTGGTCACAATAAAAGGCCACTGTGTTTTCTCACACAGTACAATGCCACAGATGTTGCCAGTTACAACTGGCATGCTGACTGCAGGAATGTCCACAAGAGTTGTTGTCTGTAAATTTAAAGTTCATTTTTCTGCTATTGACCTTTTTCTAAAATGCGGAAATGCACCTGTTTTGCGATTGTTTTAGAACTTCCGATTCAGTCACCTATATGGGAGTAATGACTAGGAATAATAAATGGCAGAATACTGTCAAACTTGCTCTACAAACAAATGTTTGCATCACTATACAGATCAAGTAGAATAATATAATAAGAAAATATCAGTTTGCAACATTAAGCAGCGTAACGAGCAGTTTTTAACGTCTAAAAATGAATGGAAGTGAATGAGACCTGAAGTCTCGAGCCAAAAAGATTTAAAAGGCTGCGACCGCTCGTCGCCAAAGAATAAGGTGAATAAGACATCTTCAAAGGTATTTCAGAGAATTTAGCAGTAAATCCATCTGGTGTCACAACCACAGACCAAATGCATCTTCACTTTCAGGATTGTCTGAGACCAGCACCCAGACAGCTGTTTCAACAACTGGTTTGCTGAATCATTGAAACTGAATTTAGTTGGCAAACGCACACATTCAATGGCATCTGGCACTTTGGAAAGTTGGTCTCTTTACAAACAAAAAAAAAAAAAACCCAGCAAAAAAACAAAGCTCCTGGGATGTATTTTGCTTTCTCTAGAAATGTATATAGGTGTACGTAACCAGAATGAGCCTGGGTTGGCAGTTTTCTTATATCAACGTTGTGAATCTAGCAGCTCATGGTGGCAGTGGGGTTGTGATATAAGCAGGCATATGTCATGCTACTGATGGCATTATGAATGCACAGAGACACTGCGACAATTCATGGAAGCTGAAAAAATCTCAGTTCTTGCATGGCTAGCAGAGTCACCGGACGTGTCACCCAATGAGAATGTTTGGGATGCTCTGGATCACCATATACAGCAGCCTGCCAATATTCAGCAACTTTGCAGAGTCATTGAAAAGGAGTGGACCAACATTCCACAGGTCACAATCAATTACCTGATCAAATCTAAAACTGACAGTTTTTTTTATTTTAAAAGCTCCATTAGTTATTTGCATACTACAAAAAAGTTGCCATGTTCATAGATTTATTTCCAGATTTCAAAATATCAATGTTTCTAAACTCAGAAGAGTAAAAAAAATAAATATCTGATATTTTTAATGCTTTAAATGACTAAATTAGGAAGAAATTTTATGTTTACATGAATGTTATCAAAAACATTAATGACCTTTACAGAATGAAACATTAGATAGAAGATATTATAATTTTAATATACACTATGTTCTAGAGTTTTGGGACAACGGTCTTTACATGCACATGGACTTTGTTGCCTTTGTTGCCACACATTGACTTGCCAATCTTAGTCTGTAGGGCTTAATATGGAGTTGGTCACCCTTTGAAAGTACAGTGTAACACAGGGTTGCCCAAACTTTTTCGTATGAAGGGCCAAAAACAAAAATCATTGAGATCCGTGGGCCAAAGGTAAATATACCAATATTATATTAAAATTGCCATGGGTAATTTTTCAAAATAAATAGAAACATTACTTTAAAATGTATTGTCTAATGCAGTATAACTGTTGAAATGATAACTGATTGCAATAAAAACATAAACAATCACATTTATAACACAGTGGAGTTCAATGGTGAATACACTAGCCAAGCAGAATCTGCCTTTGACTTGATTTCCTTACCAAATTCTCTGCATTGTCGGGTGACAGTTCAGTGTGTACAATTCAACAAAATCTGATTCATTTACACCATTTGATTAAAACATTTAGTTTCAGTTTAACAATAAAACAAACAAACAAGGGGTTACATTAAACTTGAACTGATGATCTTAAAACCATCAAGGGCATTTTCCCTCTCTTCTCAGATGGGATGGCTGGGCCAAATTAAAAGCCACCATGGACCCTATAACAGTTTCAACATCTCCACAAGGTGTGTTTATGGGAATTCTTGACCCATCTTCTGGAAGTGCACTGATGTTGAACAAAGTCTGGTTGACAGTCTGCACTCTAATTCATTCCAAAAGTGTTTTGTACGGTTGAGGTCAGGACTCAAGTCAGGCCAGTCAAGTTCCTTCATTCACACATGTGTGATTTTTTTCAAATTCGAGTTCATTAGTGGTCTGCTTTAAAATACTGCACCCAACACTTTACATTGCACTTGGTGATGTAAGGTTCAGCTGCTTGGCCATGGAAACCCATTCCAGAAAAGCTTTTATGTGCTGTTATTGAGCTAACCTGAAGGCCACACAACGTTTAGAAGGTTGTAGCTACTCATTTTCTGCAGAAAGGTGCCAACACTGTGCACCTCAGCATGTGCTGACCCCACTGTGATTTTTCATTGCCACTTCACACATCACTTCATGGCTGAGCTGCTAATATTCAATTGAGGTTTAACTGACCAAATAACATCTTGATTTTATCTTGGATGTTTGATGTTCAACATGATTCACGGTGAATTTTTCTTGCTCATTGTGATACCAAATGTTTAGCTTGATAAAAAAAACTTTTCTCTGTGTGGATAAAACATGACACACACACAAGGTGAAATGACACATGTATGCAATTTCTTGGTCTTGTCAGCTCTAAAATATAATTTATTGTAAGTTTATTTTTTTATTGTAAATACTATTATTGTAAGTGTATTAAAAAAAATTCACAAAAAAAAAACAAAAAACTGTAAAGTCAAATAACATTTAGAAATACATGTACAAAGGTAAAACCTGACATTGAAAGACATGAAAAAAATACATTTAGAAATTGACTGATTATTCTGCATTCTCTGTCTGTTTTACGATGACAGGATGTCATGTGTGTCATTCAAAATAGTAAGTTGTCTTAAATTTGTTTTTTGCAGTAAAGCAAAACTGATGTTGACAGGTTATGTAACAATGAGTACATGGCTAAGAAGTCTTTTTTTTACTTTCATAGAAGTAATATTTTTGCACAATAATTCCATCTCCTTCAGAAACTCAGAGATTTGTATTTGGATAGCAGCTAAATCAGCACACTACCTTGTTGTTTGTCACAAAAAAGTTAATAACAATAATAATAGTAGCATATATATATATATGTTTTTTTTTTTTGTTATGCAGAGAGAGAGAAAAACAACATTCTGGGTTCGATCTGCTTCAAAATCACCAGTTACGCCTTGTAAATGGTAAAAAATTCTCTAAGCGAAGTGAAGTTAAATGATCAAATGCAAGAGATGGGCTTTCCCACGCCCACGGTTTACAGCATCCTTGCTTTTTCCAAGGAACTTTGGACACAGTCTGTTTTGGCATGAAGCAGGATAACCCCAGCAGGCAGAGGCACGAGTCCTGCACACCATGTCCCTTCTTATCTGAACACTGAAGATTAGAGCTCTTTCCCCTATCTTTACATAGACTATGAATCTAGATGACTTAGAAATTTGAGTATTGTTACTGTTAAACTTTACAATGAAGTTTATACTATTCCAGTATAGTTTATATTTATACTGTACTATTAGTTTTAACATTTGTCAAAATACATTTTTAAGTTTATTGCAAATGTTAACATGCTTTGAATCCAAGACCTACCATATTTTATATTTTTGTTAAATATTTTTAAAAATGTGCTTTAGAAAATAAAAACATTATGGGTATCTTGAAACTAAACGAAGAAATAATACATTTCTTACAAAAGTTATTTACGTACAAGACAGTCAGTGCTTTCTTTAGTAAATATTATTTTAACCCTGACAATTCAGAAAATAAGCAAAGGGAGAGTTCACCAAAAATGAAAAAGGGGTTTCAAAAATATATGAGTTTTTTTTATTATTATTTTAAACAAAAAATAAGATATTTTGAAGAATGTTGAAAACTGTGTGTCAAAGAATGTCTATGGGTGTTTCCCAATGTTGGTTTGCAGCTGGAAGGGCATCCACTGAGTAAAACATATGCTGGAATAGTTGATGGTTCATTCCACTGTGGCGACCCTGATTTAATAAAGGGATTAAGACAAAAAGAAAATGAATGAATGAGTTTTGTCTAAAAATTGTTTTATTAGTTTGTTTGTTTATTTACTGTACACATATTGTGCTATGATATGCTTCATATTCAATTATTATTATTTTTTACTTTTTTTTAACTTTTTTTTTTTTTTTAGCTAGAATGATTTTGTTTTGTATGCATACATGATACTTTGCAGTTATCTATAATTAAGTCTTATGATGACTTACTGAGTCTTATCTTTATGTTATTTGTGCTTATGTTAGCATAGTAATGGAGGTAAAATCCTAAAGAACTGTTTAGAATACAGGGAAAAGCTGCACTTTGGGCATACTTTTCAGTATTAAAGCAAGTGGAAACAATTAAATATTTAAATAATTTACCATGCAGAAATGGTGCTCAAATGAGCTATGCCTAGAAAACACATAAACCATGTTTTTTATTTCTTTTTTGGTTGTTACACACTGCAAATGTAATAATATTATTTTAGGTTTTATATCTTGAACTGCTTTATTCAAGTCTAAAAACTATGCTTGAAGGCTTATCTTCATGTTTTCCATGAATTTGTGTTCACAAGCCACCCTTAATAAGCTGCAGCGGGCTTTTTGGATGTCTTCA